CTATGACATAGTGAGTGAGAGTGCATCACTTAGTGAGGCATGGAGTGAGTGAGACAGAGAGTGAATGTGACAGTGAGAGTGAATCACTGAGTGAGGCAGTGAGAGAGTGACACAGTGAGTGAATGAGATAGTGAGTGAGAGTGCGTCACTTAGTGAGGCAGGGGGTGAATGAGTGAGTGAGAGTGAATCACTGACTGAGGCAGTGAGTGAGGCAGGGAGTAAATGAGAGTCAGTGAGAGTCAGTGAATGAGACAGGGAGTGAGGGACACAGTGAGAGTGAGATAGAGATTGAGGCAGGGAGTGAATGAGAAAGTGAGTGAGGCAGTGAGTGAGACAGTGACACTGATTGAGTGAGACAGAGAGTGAGGCAGGGAGTGAATGAGACAGTGAGAGAAAGTGAGTCACTGAGTGAGACAGAGAGTGAGTGAGGGAGTGAGACAATGAGTGAATGACACAGTCAGTGAGTGAGGCAGGGGGTGAATGAGACAGTGAGAGTCAGGAAGTGAGTCAGTGAAAGTGAGTCACTGAGTGAGACAGTGAGTGTGTGTTCGACAGTGAGTGAGGCAGGGAGTGAATAAGGTGAGAGAGTGAGTGAGTGACACAGTGAGAGTCAGCGAGTGAGGCACTGAGAGTGAGACAGAGCGAGACAGTGAATGAGTGAGAAAGAGAGTGAGGCAGGGAGTGAATGAGACAGTGAGAGAGTGAGAGTCAGTGAATGAGTGAGTGAGTGAGTGAGAGAGAGTGAGAGTAAGGCAGTGAGAGAGTGAGACAGTGAATGAGTGAGAGTGAATCACTGACTGAGGCACTGAGAGTGTGAGGCAGTGTGTGAATGAGGCAGTGAGTGAGTGAGACAATGAGAGTCAGTGAATGAGGGAGTGAATGAGATAGTGAGGGAGTGAGACAGTGAATTAGTGAGGCAGGGAGTTAATGAGAGAGTGAGAATCAGTGAGTGAGTGACACAGAGTGGGTAAGTGAGTGAAGCAGGGAGTGAATGAGACAGTGAGAGTGAGTCATTGAGTGAGTCAGTGAATGAGACAGTGAGAGTCACTGAATGACACAGTGAGAGTGAGGGAATGAGACGGAGTGAATGAGACAGTGAGTGAGTGAGGCAGTGAATGAGGCACTGAGAGAGTGAGACAGAGAGTGAAGCAGTGTCTCCCTCATTCACCGACTCTCACTGTGTCACTCACTCACTCACTGTCTCATTCACTCCCTGCCTCACTCACTGCCTCACTCATTCACTCTCATTGTTTCACTCACTCAGGGAGTGAGTGAGAGTGAGACAGAGAGTGAAGCAGGGAGTGAATGAAACAGTGAGAGTGAGTGAGTTAGGCAGTGAGGGAGTGAGAGAGTCAATGAGTAAGAAAGAGAGTGAGGTAAGGAGGAAATGAGACAGTGAGAGTGTGACACAGTGAGAGTCAGAGAGTGAGGCAGGGAGTGATTGAGACAGTGAATGAGTGAGAAAGACAGTGAGGCAAGGAGTGAATGAGACAGTGAGTGAGTGAATGAGGCACTGAGAGAGTGAGACAGAGTGGGGCAGGGAGTGAGTGAGAGTTAGACAGCGAGTGAGGCAGTAAGAGTGAGACAATGAATGAGTGGGACAGAGAGTGAAGCAGTGAGAGAGTAACAGTGAATGAGACAGTGAGAGAGTGAGTCAGTGAGTCAGTGAGAGTGAGTCACTGAGTGAGGCAGGGAGTGAGACAGTAAGTAAGTGAGAGTGAGGCAGGGAGTGAATAAGACAGTGAGAGTGAGTGAGTGAGGCAGTGAGAGTGAGACAGTCAATGAGTGCGACAGAGAGTGAAGCAGGGAGTGAATGAGGCAGTGAGAGAGTGAGTGAGTGACACAGTGAGAATCAGTGAATGAGACAGTGAGAGTCAGTGAATGAGGCAGTGAGGCAGGGAGTGAGTGAGACAGTGAGAGTCAGTGAATGAGACAGGGAGAGAGTGAAGCAGGGAGTGAATGAAACAGTAAGAGTGAGGGAGTGAGAGTCAGTGAATGAGTTAGGCAGTGAGAGAATGAGGCAGTGAGGGAGTGAGAGAGAGAGACAGTGGATGAGTGAGAAAGAGAGTGAGACAGGGAGGAAATGAGACAGTGAGAGTGAGTGAGTGAGGCAGGGGGTGAATGAGAAAGTGAGAGAGGGAGAGTGAGACAGTGAATGAGTGGGACAGAGAGTGAGACAGTGAGTTAGTGACACAGTGAGAGTGAGTCACTGAGTGAGGCAGTGAGAGTGAGATAGTCAACATCTTATTCTTTTAATTAAAACATTTTCTGTAGTACTGAATAAACCAAAAATAGAGGAAGTTACATTTTTCTGTTTATCCTTCTTAATGGTTTTGTGTGTTTTATATTTAAGGATTGGGTAGAAAGTTTGTTTTATAGCTCTAGAATTGAACTTCTATTTTAGTTATCTTATGATAATTTGGAAATTTAGTTGAAAGAAAGGTCGTCATTTGGGGGGGGGGTGGCTTTTAAAATAGAATTAGTGGTGTTCTCTGGTTAGGTTTGGTACCTGTGTTCTTTGATAGAATTACCCTACTTCATTTTAAGTTTTTCATTTCTCTCTCCTCGGGTTGTTGTCAGTTTTCTCCTCAAATGGTTCCTTACATAGCTGTTTAATGCTGATATTAATCTATTGTGTGCTGAGATTCCATGTTTTATAGAACGCTTAGAGTTTTCAAACTGTGTTTTTAGATAAATTAACACTGACACAGGATAATGTAAGCTAGCGTTATTCATACAAATTTGCCCATTTCTAAAACGTAGTAGCATATGATTAAATTTGCATTATTAAAGGCAACTTGCCCCTTGATGTCTGCTTTTCTAGAAATGGAAATTCCAGAAAAGTCGGTTGAGAACCAAGTTCAAGAAAACAGCAGAGGCCCGAGAGCATTGCATCAAAGCCCCTGTGCCCCCGAACAGAACCAGAACGCAAGAACCAGCTTTGCAACAGATGGTGGCCTGTCCCAAAATTCCGGGGCTCCTGTCAGCGACTGGAGTTCCGATGAGGAAGAGGGAAGCAAAGGAAGATCCAAGTCCAGGTGCACCTCCACACTGTCCAGCCACACGTCGGAGGAAGGGGGCCAGGGCAACAGGCTGGGAAGTGAGACCTACCTAACGGCATCTGACGACAGCAGCTCTATTTTTGAAGAGGAGACCTTTGGCCTAAAGATAACAGAACACAAGAAGCTATATTCTTGGCAACAAGAGGCACACTGGAAGGCTCAGAATAGTCTCGTCCGAAAGGCAAATTCTGAATTAAGTAAAAAGGAGCGAGACAGTTCCTCAGATGAGCTGAATAAGAAATTTCAGTCTCAGAGACTGGATTATTCCTCCTCATCGAGTGAGGCCAACACCCCGAGCCCTATTTTGACCCCGGCTTTGACTCCAAAGCACCCTACTTTATTACCTGGAAAAGGCACACAATTAATGCCTTCATCAAACCTGCCACCCCCAAAGCTACGGATTCCTAACGTCTTCAGTATCAGCGTCGCGCTAGCCAAAAGGCACTTAAGCCAGCCACAGTTAAGTTCCGATCGGATGTTTGGTACCAACAGAAATGCTATCAGCATGATACGGCCACTGAGACCTCAGGAAACGGATCTTGATCTCCTTGACGGTGACAGTTCAGATGTTTTAGAGAACATGGACACGAGTTGTGATGACGGATTATTTTCCTATGACTCCCTGGAATCCCCGTGTTCAGACGACCAGGAAACCTGTGGGCCGGCGAAAAAGGCAGTGTGCGGCAAGCCCCCCACCCCTCCCCTGCACCGGTTCCCCTCCTGGGTAATTATACCGCTTTGTGCAACTCACACACACAAGTCTTTCCTTGACAGTCTTTCCCTTCTCAGGCTGGACTGGCTCCTTTTCCGGTTCCCTTGCAAATCCAATTTGTCCTGAGAGTTCCTCACTTTCAGAACATGATTTCCGAATTTATGACTGTCCGAGGAACCAGGAGGTCCTATACGTAGTGCTTCCCTTCCCCCACTGGGTCTAGAGTCAGTTGAGAAGTAAAACAAGGGATACGTGAGAGAGGGGAATCAAAATACTGTACTACCTTTGTTACGAATAAAATCGATTTTATGGTCGATAAAAATGAACTTGAGAGCAAGGGTTGGGCAAGTGGTCTTCCCAGTATGAACCTCGGAATTAGCTAGGTTTAGTTCACACAGCCCCCAGCAGTGCTGGCTTCCCCCAATAAAAGCAAAACCATGGCAAACCCCCCTGCTACCGAGTCCATTTCAGCTCATCTAGCGACTGTGTAAGGCAGAGTAGAAGTGTTTCCTAGGGTTTCTGAGACCGTAGACCTTTATAGGATGAGACAGCCTCTTAGATGGAGGCCTTCCCTTTGAAAATGTGCATCCTGGAACTGCCTGTCTCTCTTCTCAAGAGAAAAGCCCAAGAGAAGGCGGGGCTGTGCATGGCCAGCGCTCCTTCTGAACTCACTAACTACATCAAGCTACTCCTTGGATAGAGTGAGAGAGATCAAGAGTGTTTCATTATTGCAGACCCCCCACCATGAAAGGAAAGTGTGTGTGTGTGTGTGTATGTGTGTGTGTGTGTGTGTGTGTGTGTTTAAGGAGATGGAGGGCAGTGGGCTGCCCCTTTGAGAGGTACTTGTGGGTGCCTTTGTAGCAGGACACTGAACTTGCTGATCATCCATTTTTAAACTTTTCAACTCGTTTACCTTTCAGAGAAATTTCATTTTGGCATTTCATGCGCGTAATCCATTGCTTTAACAAAATACGTTTTGTGTATCCAGAATATATTGGCTCTTCCTTCAATAAAACATGGGCCAGTAGTAAAATAATTAACCTGCCAAATTGTACGATTCTTCTTAAGAATATCTACATGACTATATTTTTTAAAAAATCATCTTACTTATCTTTAAAACAAAGTAAAAAGATATGTTTGGCAGATTTAAGTTTTCCTTCACGTCTAACTGCAATTTAACCTTTGGCTTCCTTCAGAGAGGCATCTGGGTTGTGAGGTTTTAAAAAGAATCAAATTGTTACTTGGTCATTTAGAGACTGTTATCACTGTAAGCTCCTAAATTAAGTCGGCCATATTTTCCTGGGATAAGTCAAGGCATGAATGCAGGCCTTGAGATGGAGCTGCTCTTGATGGCTTGCAAGGGAACATTCCGTTCCGGTGTCCATGTAAAACTGTCTGCAGTGTATCACTTAACTCCGGATGGAACTAAAAGGTAGACATTATTGGCAGGCACATCCCTGCGATACTCGTTACGTTACCCTTAGTGAGGAATTGACATCTCGCCTCTTTTATTATGTTGAGATTTTCAGAGATTAAACTTACAAGTTTATTTTACTTGGCAAACCATTTTTACTGCTTTTTCCCTCTTCTCTCTCCTGAAGCTCTTTGGACTGAAACAGAGTGTTGTTTTTCAAAAGCCTTCTAGTAGGCTGGTATACGGTTTAAGGTTTTATTTCTGTTTGTGAAACATTTTAAGGTTTCCAGGAAAAGATATGTGTTCTAGAAACTCTTTCTTGGTGTGATTGAACTTTTGAATTATCCGATATGTGAATTCGATGCCAATAAAACTGTTGGAAAGAGCAAGCAAGCAAGTCTTGGAAACCCACAGGGGCAGTTCTACTCTGTTCTGCAGGGGTGACGTCAGTGGGATTTGACTCGATGGCAGTGGGTTTTGAGTTTTAATTATTGAACTGACGTTGTAATTGTTCCTTCTGATCTTCTGAAACAAACAAACAAGTCAATGCTTACCCTGTCAGTTGAAGAGACTATATACCTAGTCACCAGTGTAGAAAGCCCAGTCTTTCCCCCTTGGAGATGCTGGTGGTTTTGAACTGCCAACCATGCAGGCTGCAGCCCAATGCATAACCACTACACCACCAGGGTTCCCTCTGATTTCTGTAGCAAATAAATGCCTTGAGGTCTTACTGACATGCCTTGCCACGACTACCTTTCCAATAAACCAAATAAGTTTATGCACAGCCAAAAAAAAAAAAAGTTGATTTTAAAGCTCATTGAACTAGAATGTCATTCAAAAAATCCTATCCTAATTGTAATGGAATATTATTCCAAATGCAACAGTCACTCTGGATCTGGGACATGTCCTGTGGTTCAGTAGCCCCTGTGGTAGTTAGCTTCTTAGGAACAGGGGACACCCATTGCGCCTGCTCCCAAGGATCATATCTACGATGTTTCCTATCTACGATGTTTTATATCTACAATGGCTGTCTTTCTGCTTCTCCTATTGCTGCCGACTATTCCCTTCCACTCTCTCCGCCCGTCTGACTGCTTCCTATTCTCTGTCTACTGTCTTTCTGTTCTGCCCACTCAGCTCTTTGCCTTTCTCCATGTAGCTCAATCACATTCTCAGAGAGATTTCATCTGATTTGTCCACTGATCCTTTCTTTAAAATAATATATCCTTGATAGAGATCCCATGCTAACTACTTCTCAGGGCACTGACTAACCTGAAGGAGACGATCTTAGCTTGCCCACTGGGTGCTGGATCACTCAACTGTGTCTTGTTTAGATTCCTTACAAAATTCAGTACATTAGGAGCCACAAGCTGTCCTCTTACACATGAGGGACTTTCCCAGTGCATGTGAGACCTTACTCAGAGATCTCTCAATAAAAGAAATCAAAGTAACAACCTACTTTAGGAACAAGAGAACATGATAAATACCCTTGCAATTCTCAAATCCATGCATTGTTTGATCTCAAATGTTTTGTTTTTCCCCTACTGGAGTGTTCATTGAACTAAAACTCCAAATCCGTTGGCATGACAGGTTGGTACTAACTCATAGCAACCCTATTAAACAGAGTAGAACTGCCCCACAGGGTTTGTCAGTCTTTATGGGAACAGACTGTCTTCTGTGGTGGGGCTGGTGGACTTGAACCCCTGACTCCCGGTTAGCAGCAGAGCACCTTGCCACCGTGCTCCCAGGATCCCTTCACTGAAATAAAGAGGTGACGTGACTTCCTACTTGATTTTTTCTTTCTTTTTCTCCTGTAGCCATGTTATAGACTGTTTAGCTATTAAAAGGCAGTATTTATGTGAAGTCAGTGATTGTGAATACTTCTCTTACCTTTTCCCCCCATCTCTTCAAAAGAAAGTAGACTACCAAATAACATGTGGAGACAAAGATAAATCATCGAATAAATAATGGATGGGGAAAGTGCGCAACACTGTTCACCTGGACTGCTTGAGTTGGATTTGTTGACAGTCTCATGATCATGCTCTAGTCCACGGACGAGTGAATGAAGAACAAATGGAAAACATATGTATTGAAAGTAACCATTTCTCTACTTGAAATACCCCGTGCATACCTTTCTTTTAGGAAGGGAGAATCTACGCTGTCGCCAAATCAGGGATTCGAATGTCTGAAGCCCTCAGTGTGGAGAATGCGAATAAAAGTAAGTGATTTTGTGTGCATAAGGTTGCTGGTTTTTATTTTAAAATTGAAATTCAACTCTTATGTAAAGCGTACCTCATTATGTTTTTACACAAAAGAGACTAAAGCTAAGAAACGACTGTATTTCAGCTGTTTAAAATGGCAAAAACACTGTTTTCTGTGTCCCTTTTCAGAATTTAAACACATTTTCCCCTCTTCGTTTGCTTTCTTCAAAATTTTTATAAGACCAATACATACAAATCATAAAAATAAATCAAGAAAACAAATCAACAGAACTGTCTGGAATAAAAAAGGAGATTTTTCTATGGTTTCTTCTCCTAGCCTCCTCCCTTTCCTTCTCCAAATCTATATAGCAAATGTAACGATTTTTCACCTTTAAAAATTATTTGCTCTTTAGGAAAAGATGCACGGCCAAACCTACCCCTATTCCACAGTTTCTTGACATAATGATACGTGACATTGGTTACATTCTGTGTCAGCATTCTCGCTACTCCTCTTATTGTCTTATGTCCTTGTTCTCTCTGCCCCGCAACCTTCTCATCTATGCTTTGAAAGAGCCGTTGACCTTGGAGGGCTTGTGTAGATCATTGCTTTTCTAATTCGGCACTCAAGTGTGCCAATCTTGACTCTTTGGGTTAAGCTGTTACTTAGTTTAATGGTGACTTCAGAGGTTAATTTCAATTCAAGGTTGGATTACCCGCCAGGGCCATAGACCTAGAGACACTTCCAGCTTCAGGAGGTCCAGTCAGTCTGGACACTTTGTTGTCGTTGTTAGGTGCTAGCCAGTCGGTTCTGACCCATAGTGCCGCATGCCCAACAGAACGAAACACTGCCCGGTCCTGTGCCATCCTTAAAATTGTTCTATGAGCCCATTGTTGCAACCAAAGAATTTCAAGTTCCTTAAGCATGTCTGAAAGCATTTGAAAGTCGATATGTTTTTCTCCCTTTGTATCAGGACCCCTCTGTTGTGTTTCTGGTTGAATGTTTGGTAGTTGTCACTGGACGCCAGCTAGTTCTGGTCTCAGAGTGGGAAGGCAGTGGTTCAGGTGGAAAACTAGTCCTGAAGTGCTGTTCTTCTAGGATTCTTGGGTTTTCTTTCTCTCTTTTTCCAGACAAGTAAAGACCAAAAGGTATAGCTTAGATGACCACGCATGAACTTATAAGCCCCCAGGAACTACCCACCATCCTGGGAGAAAGAAAATACACTTTAGAAACATACTATGCTCATTCACAAGAGGGCCCCCAAGACCGTAGATCAAACCCCCAAACCAAATGAACTAGTCCCATGAGTTGACTGGTCATGTCTAAGGGTCTGTAGTGTAAGTGGGGGTCTCTAGGCTCCCTGACCCCCCCATTGGGTTGTTGTTACTGTTGCAAAACCACACACAACCTAGTTTTTGTCCATGTATCCCCCTCCCTGCATCTAGTCCATCGATGATGCTGTGCATGTGTGATGCCACCTTGTCCACGCCTACCGTGAAGTCTGTAGGAGCCCAAACTTAACAGAGCTGCCTTATTTTTCTGGGTCTTGCAAATACTCCACCATTAACAGGGCATAGTTCCTACGATGTTTCTATTGCTCACTCTTTTGTCAAAAACATCTGAGCTATCCTTCTCTGAGAGGTTTCTGTCTTACGTAGGTCTGGCTTTCTCAAACTTGGCCATATAAACAAAAAGTTACTACTACCAAGAGAGCACTTTTCCTCCTCCGCTTCTCTCCACCTCCAACTACTAAGGCAAATTTGGTTCTGTTTTTTTTTAACCTATTCATGTCATTTCCTAAAAGATTATATATATATATATATAAATAT